TACAAGGACAATGATTGGAAGGAAAACAGCTATCATAAAAGTTGGAGGTGTATACCACACAAATTGATTTGTATCTATCCATTTATTCCAGGCAAAAATCAAGGCATGCATTGTGCCCAGTAGGAGGGAAACAATTCCAAGGTTGCTCTACAAAATAAAGGAAATGTTCTCTCAGTTAGGATTGTTATTTATTTATTTATTTATTTATTTATTTATTTATTTATTTAACGGAACCAGGGATTGAACTCAGGCCCTTGTGCTTGCTAGGGAAGCACTTATTCCACTGAGCCATCTCCATGGCTCAGTAAGAATTTATTTTACCCTAGCTCATTTGGATCTGTTCTGTTGCTTGGAAATCTTTTTATTCATTTAGGATTTTTTTCCCTAACAATTCTCAACAATGTCCATTCATATTTTTCCTTTCTTAACATTTTGCTTTTGGGTGGTGTTTTTGTCTTCAAGCTAAATTGAGAAAATTCACAATCTTTTTTTAGTCTCAGGTGATCAACAGTCCTATTTTTCTTTTCTCTGCCATTCTGCTCATTTCTTTTACGATATTTATTTTGGGTGCTTATCTCATGTACATGTGCTATAATTCTATCAACAGACATCTAAAATCAGGAACTATACCTTACTCATCACAAAATTTCTGCAAAATTAGCATGGTTTGCTGCATGTATTACATGCTCAACGTGAACTGGGAGATTGGCCAAAGGTCACTGCAAAGGTCAGTTTGACTTCAGTGATCCTTATCAATGATGACAGCAGGGAATGCAATTCCTACTGATTTTGGTAAGTGAACAGTGAAGTGAATAAACTTGGACTATATTTTTTAAAAGTCAGACATTCTGCTAAAATGGAAAAACACTGGAAATGGTTCCAATGTTTGAACAAAATATAAATCTAGTGATGCGAAGAAAAATTTCAACTTGCATTGCAATACTTTGGCATCATAGTGAAAGGTTGCTTACAAATAGTTGTTCACCTATATAATTTTAAAGCATTTTGACAAAACCTTTTCTAGATAACATTTGGCTTCTGTTCATTTTACTTGAAGTAATGATTGGCTTGCCAGAATCAATCTAACTCACAATCATTCCACTGTACTCTTAAGCTCCAGTGAATACTATCACATAGATAACTTTAAATTTTCAGGTATTAATCTCCAAGGTAAACTGTAGTATAATCATCTGTTTAACTGTAAATGAAAAATTTCTAGGTTACTGAATGAAAAATGCATGACTGCTTGAAGATTAATTTCGGCCCACCTGTATTGTGTACTTACTCTGAGCCAGAGTATGTACAGTGGGATGGACTCAACCATCAGGATGCTGTGCGTGAATCCCTACTTAAATAAATAAGTGGTGCTCAGCGTATATGGGACAGGCAAAGCAATGCAAGGTGAAATGATTGCATGAAGAACACAGAACACCAGTAGCTATAAGGCCAAACATGAAACACTGTAAAACACTTTGCTTCGACAATGTAGTACCATCTTTAAATCACACTTGAATACTGTAGATGGAGAGACAGTTTCCAGCCTGAGCAGATGGCATGGGAAAGTGTCTGCTGGAAGCAAGTATGAACATGTACAAAGCATAGTGGGGAATTCTGATGCTGTGGAAATTTTCAAAGATGTCCACTCATAAAAGTTAATTTATGTAATTTAAAATATTTTGGCAGTGGTATGGTGGAATTAAATTGAGTCTTTTGAATGTTGCCAGGCATGGGTACTCTTCTGGATTCTACTACACTGTACCTTTTAAGTATAATCTCCCACTAGGAGATAAATTCCAGTAAATTTGATATAGCTCTGAATTTTAGAAATGTTTAGAATCTTCAAATGAGTAAGCTATCCAAAACATAACCTGGAAAAAGCAGCTTTCAAAATTAGATATTAGAATACTTTTGTTCAATAAAACTCCTTATTTCAAGGAGAAACTTTATTTTTCTTTTCTATCTCTACGAAGCTGTGTATCTTAAAGGGATGACTAAGTCTGGGGATATGTATAAGAATATAAGAATATTTTTATTTTGGGGGAACTAGTAGAAGATGGATATCCCTAAAGCATCACATTTATAGTTAAGTTATTACTTGGGCAGTGAATTGTCTAACAAATTTAAGTGTTAGAATATTTTTCTTTTAGTAATGTCTTTTATTTATGTCTGCAAAACACATTCTATTTAGAAGCAACAGGGAAAAGAAGAAAATATTAATTAGAACAAGTATAGAATGCTTACTATTGAAAACATTGGTTATTTTTTATGGCATAAAGTCAATGTACTTTATGTTGAAGCACAAAAAGATATACCTCTCTGAGG